AAAGAGAATCAAGAAAAAAAATGTTTTCCATGTAATATCTCCCACACCATTGAACCAACCAAGGTAGGATGATCTTTGTCATTGTCCTTGCAGTAGACTAATGAGCAGTTCAGCAGCCTGCCTGGCTTTTCTCCGCTCCCGGTGTTCACTTCCTCCTACTGTTCAGCTGCCCCTTACCCCGTTAGTCTTCATCTCTGTCTCCCGGCTCCCTTCTCTAGGGGGGCAGTATAAACCAGTTTAGCTCCCAGGTTACCCAGTGTGGCCCCAGTCTGGAAAGAGATAAGGCTTGAGATAGAGTTGTAGGAGTTGTCTGAGCCTTTCCTGTCTAGAATCAAAGGTGCACACCCCACAAATCTCAAAAAAAGGGGAGGTGGGCAGAGTACTCAGTGTAATCATCTTTCACTCACTTGCAGATAGTAATTGTTACTCACTCAACAAACATTTACTGAATAGAACCTCGTTGTGTGAGGGACTGTGTAGGGCAATAGAGGGTGGAGAAGGCAGAATGGTGCCTGTCATCACTGAGTGAGTGACCCTTCAGTCTTACTCTTTCATTCAGGCCTTCAAGTATTTCATGGCTTGTATTCTATCAACAAAAATGATGACATAATTTTTATTGAATACATTAGGCGATGTGGCTTAGAGAAAGCTTCATGTCCAGTTAGTGTGGTTGATGGGGAGGGTACTGCATACCCACCCCCACTCCCATGCTTTTACATTGACCACACTGTACATCCTGGACCTCTGCCTCGGGAGACCTCTCTAATACATGCCACACTGCTGTTTGGGAAAATTAAATGTTTAAAGTCATTTAACCCTATTCTTTCAGTATAAACATCCTCCTCTTTTCAAAAATGCAAATAATTGCTGAACAAAGGCAGAAAATGTAGGAGATTTAGATTTCAATTTACTTATCCACTGATGAACTTTGTGGTTTTTCTTCAATAAAGAATAAGACCAATAGATGATAATCCCAGAGAGTTAATAAAGATTTGGGTAAGTAGTAACAGTCTAGAAGCCAAAATGATGGGAAGTCCTTCCTTTGCAGAAAGACATTGTTAGTGAAATCCAGTCAAGTAATTTACATTTGGAGATTGTTATTTTGTTCCTGGTATATCTGTATCCATGAAAGATGAAACTGTAACAAAATTCTACCTTACTTAGGATCATAACTACAGAGACACTACAAAAAGAGTGTCTTGTTCCATTAAATTCACTGTGACAGTTACTGATTACACTTACATTGCATAGTTCCCAGTCAGTTACTTGCAGCCCTAACTTTTGTTTTTTTCCGCAAAACATTTCAGCATTAAGAACTATTTGGTTAATAACGTGATTTTAAAATTCCTTCATTTTATATCTTTATTTTATTGCTTCATTTATACTATAAACAAAAATAAGATTTGCATACATTTGCAGAGACGCACATGCAATAATGTTCCTCATAACATTTTTATAATTGCAGAAAATTGGAAAGAACCCAAATGTCTATAAACAAGAAATTGGTTATTAATTCAGGTAAATGTTAAAAATCATGTAGATTAGTAATTACTGATATAAAGTTATTCACCATATAGTGATTTTTAAAAAGACTAGAAAAGCAGGCTGAAAACTCATCTTTTTTTTTTTTTTAATTGTGTATGTAGAAAAAACGTCCAGGAAGATACACATCAGAATGTTAACAGTAGTTCTGAGTAAATTTACAGATGTTACTCGTTTACAACTTTTTGTCTTGTATGTTGTCAGAGGTGTTTTTTTATTATTACTATTTTTGCTTTCATAGTTAGCATGTATAATTTTACAGGAGGAAAATATTTTTCTTTTGAAAATCAAACCTGAAAAGGTAAAAGGAGCACCAAAGAAATGAAATGTTAATTATTTAAGCATGCAAAACAAAAATTCCCACAATGCATGTTAATTATGTTACCATCACTGTAACTTGTTTTTGCAATTTCCCCCCTCCTTTTCCCCAACTGAAATACTATTAACACTTGATGTAACACCTTCCCTCATCCCACAGCTTCCTGTTTCTTTTCATCCTTCATCTGCCTCCCTCCACCTCGTTTGAGCTGGAATGACAGACTTGTCCCAGCACACCACACTGTGCCAAGGATATTATTTGAGGTAGAACATTAATGTCACTGGTTGCTCTTCCAACATTAGAAAAACCATTTGCCATTGAGTTGATTTCAACTTAGAGCGACCCCATGAGTACCAGACTATAACTGTGCTCCATGGGGTTTTTAGTGGCTGATTTTTCAGATGTAGATCACCAGGTCTTTCTTCCAAGGAGCCTCTGGGTGGACTCACACCCCCAGCCTTTCAGTTAGCAGCCACATGCGTTAACCATTTGCACCACTCAGGGAGTCCCTTCTAACATCAAGCCCATCCTTTACCAGTCGAAATCGATTCAATAGCAACAGGTTTGGTTTTTGGTTTTTTACCTCGATTAGTAAGTTAGGAAGTAAAGATGAGCCTTTAGAATGTTTCATTGTTATAGGTTCTGTGTGTCTTGAATGATGTAGAATTAAGCTGTTGAGGATGCCCAAGTTTCACCCTAGGCTCTGCATTGTAGACTGCCGTGAATTGGAGCATGATTTCTGTCAAGAGCAGAGAAATGTGACTCAAAACTTACTTTGGTCCTTTAAACTCTGAAGTTATTACTTAGTCTCAGCTGAAGGACAACATTTTTTTTTAAACTGTATCTTGGAGAACAGAATGGTTGCACAACTTGAATGTAATCAATGTCAATGAATTGTACATGTAGAAATTGTTGGGTTGGCATATGTTTTTTAAATATATTATTTTTTTCACCACATACAAAAAAATAATAAAGTGTCTTGGCCAGTTCCCAGGTGTTTTATGTGTACATTCAGTATTGCTGGTTTAAATCTTCTTGAATCCTGGCTGGTCTGGTTTAAGTGGTAGAGTTTTGGTTTCAGCATTTGGGCAATTAAAGAAAAGAATCACAAAGAGTAGGTAGAGAGGCAAAAGTTTTGAGCAAACCTATGTATCAGGAATTCTATTAATTGTTTGTGATGTGAGTAAATATAAGAAGCTGACCTCTCCCTAGGATAATTATAAGAAGCTTAGCATACGTCCAAGAAAAGTGAAGCAAGGTGTCTTAGTCATCTAGTGCTGCTGTAACAGAAATACCACAAGTGGATGGCTTTAACAAAGATAAATTTATTCTCTCACAGTCTAGTAGGTTACAAGTCCAAATTCAGGGTGTCAGCTCCAGGAGAAGGCTTTCTCTGTTGGCTCTGGAGGAAGGTCCTTGTCATCCGTCTTCCCTTGTTCCGGGAGCATCTCAGCGCAGGAACCTCAGGTCCAAAGGACGCGCTTTCTTGGTGGTATGAGGTCCTCAACTCTCTGCTTGCTTCCCTTTCCTTTTATCTCTTGAGAGATAAAAGGTGGTGCAGGCCACACCCCAGGGAAACTCCCTTTACATTGGATCAGGGATGTGACCTGGGTAAGAGTGGTGTTACAATCCCACCGTAATCCTCTTTAACGTAAAATTGCAATCACAAAATGGAGGACAACCACACAATTCTGGGAATCATGGCCTAGCCAAATTGATACACACATTTTTGGGGGGACATGATTCAATCCATGACACAAGGTCTTGTTGAGTGGGCTTTCAAAGGTTTTATTATTATCAGCCTCAGCACATTAGCTAAAAGGTGTTTTCTGTTACACCTTGAATATCAAGAAGGTATGATGGTGGGTGTCTTACCTAGGTTAGGGTCTCAGAATGTTCCCAAGTTAAATGTGGGCTTAGAGCACAGGCACGCTTCCATGTTCTTTGCTTTTTCTTTTTTATATTTAACTTTAGCATTTACTAGCTTTTCTCTTCCTTTTCCCCTTTGGTTCCTTCTTATATACCTCCTCTAACCACTCACATTCTCAACACCAAAAACCAGGGAAATAAAATCAGAGGAAGAGTGAAATTAGATACTTGGAGGGAAGGGATCGATTCTGGAATCAGCAAGAACTTAAATTACTTTTCTTTTTTTATTGCTTTGATCTTCATTCGCGTTGTTCTTCTCTGGGTAGTAGTGAACAATCTCCCAAGCAACCCGTGGTTAAGCGTGTGAACTTGGCTCAGGCCCTTGCTCCACCTCTCACTCCGCCTGGGGCAAGTGACTTCTCTTCCTTAACTTCATTTTCCTTATGTGTCAACCCCCCCAGAGATTTGTGTAGCTAATATGTTAAAGTTTTAGGATGTGGTAAATCAGTGAGTGTTAGATTTTATTAACATCTATCAGTACTTTTGCAAGGAGTTATTATATGTGGATTTTGATATTCTCAAATAATTTCGAGGAATATGTATACCATCTCTCCCCTGCTCATTAAGTCTTACAGCTGCTGCTTGATTGTGTTCAGCTGAGGCTGTGAATATTTCCTCAGAGCAGGTAATGAGGGGCGTGTGTGCTGCCATTGCTGTGGTATTACCAATACTGTACCAGTTGCTGTTGAGTCGATTCCAACTCCAGGCAACCCCATGTGTGTCAGAGTAGAAGTGTGCTCCAGAAGTAAGTAAATCACCAGGAAGTAGATAGCCAGGCCTTTCTTCCAAGGAGCCTCTGGATGGACTCCAGCTTTTCGGTTAGCAGCCAAACGCATTAACCATTTGCACCCTCCAGGGACTCTGCCTGTGGTATTTCCCAAGGAATCTGCATCAAGGACCCTGGAGTCTCCCTCTCCCACACCTTACCTGCATTTTCTCAGTGAAATACCTACTAAAAAGGGGGCACAGGGAGAGGGAGGGATGATGAGACTTGTCAAGAACTGTGACGAGAGGTAAAAGCAAAAGTAGCTGACTCTCCTGGCAGCTCATGTGAAATGTGGTCTCAGCTATCGGTTCAGCTAAAGTGACACTGGTCCGGGTGAAAACAGCAGCCCTGTCCTCCTCCCCAGACACTCCTTTCCTTCCCCTTCTTAGAAAAGGAAGGAGAAGGGCTGGTATTTACTGTCTCCCGACTCTGTTTCCCTTTCAGCTGACCCTCTGGTAGGCAGCATTGCCACGCAGTACATGACCAACAGAGCGGAGCATGACCGAATGGCCAGACAGTGGACCAAGAGGTACGCCACATAGGGGCCCGCTGCCTGCCCCCCGCCGGACCTGTGCAAGCACATTCACCAAGTGCATCAATAGCCCTGCCCGCCCTCCTGACCTCGGTTCTTATTTTCCTATTTTTATTAGATTTTGAACTGTTTTGTGATGGTATATCATCTGTCCCCCTCCTACTGACTCCTCCCCTCCCTTTTATTCCCTTTTTGATTTCTTAACTTGAAAGATTTGGATTCCCCCCCAACCCCCACCTCAGAGTGGATGGGAACTTTTATTTTCAGTGCAAAAAATGTTGGACCTGTAATAGTAAAAGCTTTCTTACAAAGTTTTGTATTACTGTGTGGTTTTTTTTTTTTTTTTTTCTCGTTTATTTTGATTTTTCTTTTCCTTTTATGTGATCTTCGGGAAAACACGAATTCAGAATTATCTCTCGTTTCTACTTAAATGTAGTGCTTAGGGTTAATTTTTTGTACTGAAGTCTTTATTGGTGGGTGCATGCTACTGGGAACAAGTTTTTGTATAAAAGCTTAAATCAGAATCACTGTGCATTACTGAGACCCTGTTTATCACTAGCCTTCTGTCCCCCACGCAGAAGACTGCTGGATTGAACAAAATAATATGTATTTTGATTTACTTAAAAGTGCTTGTAAATTTCTTAGGGACCTGCCACTTTTGACTGTGGATCAGTTGATGTACACTTGTCTTATTAAAGCACTCAATAAATCACTGTGGCTGATAAGTGCACTTCTGGTAACCCTGCGTGTTTGCTTTGTGTCTTGATGGCCTCCATAGCTCTGCGTGCAGTGAGCCTTGTCTAATTCAGTCACAGGTTAAAAAGAGAATTTTTCATCTCAAACCTGTAATATTTCTCTGCGGTTGAGTTGCTTAGCGTGTGGAGTTTCTACAGATCTGTTAATATCCTAATGGTTTTATGGTTGTGTCAGTAGATAGCTATCATTTTACATACTGGCTGGACATTACTTTCTCATAGCCATCCTTTCTGTTAAAACCTTCTTTACTCAACAATTAAACTGTGTCACGCCAAAAATAACCTTCTAGTGAAAGTGAAGTCTGAGCTGATCATTTGTGTTCAACCACATTTGAGTTTACTTCTCTCTTCTTTTCCCTCTTAAAGTTGTGATGTGATACCCATCAAGTTTTGTTTTGTTTTCCTCCATAATTTTGGTGGAAGAAGTAAATTCAGCTGTACGAGTCGTGGTCAACATATTCAGTGACAAGGGTAAGTCCATCTGGCTTTGACCTTCAGGCTATTTCAGCTGTGCAGCTATAGGAGGTAGAGGAACTGTGTGGGTGGTGAAGTGTAAAAAACACATTGATGTGCTGACTGATATCAGGATCGTGATACAAGGCATATTGGGAACTCCCACTAACACCAGTACAGGCACGTCGGACAGCTTGGTCTCCTTTAGGGAGCCATTAACATCTGTACTGCTAAATAGTAGGATTTGTAAGTGTGAGTCATTCACCTCTAAATATTTAAACATTTTAAATATATGATTCAAAGATGTGGTTTTTGTTGTTTTTTAGTGGTTAAAAGAAATCCTAAAGAAATACATTTAAATATTGGAAATGCCACTTTTAAACCAAAGTACCTGGGGATATTTTTTTCCCTTTTTAATAACAGTTATACCATTCATCTCATTAAAAACGTTTTCCAGCATGCCAGAACACCATACAGTCTCCTTTGCAAGTACTTAACTCTGTGGTTGTAGCAAAAAGAACCACAGACAATACATAAATAAGTGTGGCTGTGTCTCAATAAAAGTTTATTTACAAAAACAGGCAGTGGCCAGATTTGGTCCTTGTTTGCCAACCCCTGATTTAGACCACCTTAGAGTGGAAGAAAAAAAAAAAACAGGCAGATAACTGGGTACCAGTAGTCCCCGACTCACGACCTGTTCAAGTTAGGACAGACCACGCTTATGACTGTCTTTTTTTTTGTACAGCTTATCGCTAGTCGTATGTACTATATACAGTGTTGCAGCACATAATTTGCTGATGTTATCATTCTCATGCCAACCCCCAAAGATGCGATTTATAACAATACTGATAATAAAAGGCAATACTACTAAAAAAAAATGTGATATCCGACTTACGTCAGAACCAACATATGACGGGGTCATCAGAACAGAACCCAGTTGTAAGTCAGGGACTCCCTGTGTTTAATATCTCTTTCTTTAAAACAAAGTAAGCTTTAATTAGTATAATACAAGACTATAATTTTTTGAAAATTACTCAATGTTTTATTGCCTACAGACTTTTTCACCACAAAGGGTGTTATTTTTACTTTAATACTATAGATAGATTTTAGCATTGGCTTAGTGTAATATGCAGTTTTTTTTTTTTTACTTTTGATTGATTAAACCAAGCCCATGGTATTAACACTGACTTTTGTAGACAATGTTTAAATTCAGTCTGCCTTTCTTATAAAAGATCAACTCCCCTGGACACACATTTTAAGTTATATGTCCAAAATATTAAACGTTATCTCTCATATCTGGTTGTATTTAGATCATTTTAAAATGTGTGTCATTTAATAGCCAGAGATCATAACAGTACTCACAGAGAATCCTGTCCTAAGTTTGTGTTTGCTTTCCTCTGAACCGTTCTTAGGTTTTATGCCATCTGTGATATGAAGAGGCTATAAAATTTTTCTCCCCATTTTTATGAACTCTAAATATTTTATGACAAACAGATAGACCCTGCCCTTAAAATGTAAAAGCAAGAGCAACTCCAGTCTGACGTTCGCTCTGGAGACCAGCAGACTCTCAGTTGAGCCTGTTATGTCTAGATTCCAGATCACACAATAATATTACTTGAAATCAGTCATCACAGCAGGCAATGCAATTCCAATGAGTTTTCAAAAATGTTTGTAAAATAAGATTAAGGAGTGGTTTAGCACTCCGAAAGCTAAATAGTGTGGCTGATAATTATGAAGAAAGCATTTTAAAATTTAGGAAGGATTTTGTACCCTCATATTATTTAACTCTTTGCACCAATTATTGCTAGTTACGGTATTTTGCAGCTATGTTAAAATGTTAGTAGATCTGAGGCAGGCTTGTTGGTCATTGATAACATAAAGTTTGAGATGATGTTTACTGGTGTTAAATAACTCAAAAGGATGTCACCTTGATTTGTTGCCAAACTGCAAATAAATGGAACATTCTTTATGTGTTTTTCTATAGAACTCCGTTTGTCATAGCAAATGCAGAAGTAGTCAGTCTTTTTCCAGGATTAAGAAGTAAACTTAGAAGTTTATCCTGGAATACTGGTTTGGGAATCAGGAAGAAAGGAAATATTTATTGAGGATGTCCTGTGTATCCAAACCAAAACCAAATCCGTTGCTGTCGAGTTGATTCTGACTCATAGCGACCCTATAGGATGGAGTAGAACTGCCCCATAGGGTTTCCAGGGAGCAGCTGGCAGATTCAAACTGCTGACCTTTTGGTTAGCAGCCAAGCTCTTAACCACTGTACCACAGGGCTCCGTACTGTGTACAGGCCATCTAATAAAACGTTATCTAATAAAACCTCACCCTAGTCCTTTAGGATATAAGTGGCCCTCAGTCACACACAGCTAGCAAGATACCAAAATAAGATTCCCACCCCAACGTGACACCAGAGCCCTTGCTCTTAACTATAAAAACACATGCACCTTTCTTCTACTGCGAAGTCATACCATGAAAATAGATTGGCATAATTCACTCTTAGAGTAGAGGTGCTATCCAGTTCCCAGGTAGCAGGTGTTTTGTTTAAGAAAGTGTGGACCCAGTATTAGATCAGAGACCAAACAGCAGGAGCCAAGCTTCTAATCTTAGAGGTGCCTCCTTAAGATCTGCCCACCGTGGGGAAACATGCCTCAGCTAGAAAGCCCCTGAACTTCTCTGCACCTCAGTTCTGCAATAAAAGGGATGTTAGCTATTATCAGGCATGACAGTTTTTAAATGTATGTATAATATTTGTGCTTTAAAGAGAGAGATGTCCCTGCTTAATACTGAAAACAATTGAAATTGCACCAAAAAACCCTACCAGAGAACCCTGGCCTACCCATATATTTTGTATCAAGGTAGCTTTATACCTCTGTCAAAATGTCCCTCTGTATAAGGCTTCTCTGGTGTGTGGGCTGGTGCCTCAAGCCATCTGGGCATACTCTGTATCCCAAGATATTCCTAGAATTGTCCTTAGAGAAAATCTGAAGCAGACCTGGTTGTACTATGATGCATAGCAGCGTAAGCTACATCAGATCTGCAATCTCTTAGAGTTGCGATCTTCAGGAGGCTGAGAGCAGCATGGCCTCCAGAAAACTTCCGTGGTAGCCATGTATTTCCTCACGTCCACACTTCCCCATTGGGGAGGTGACTGATTCCCTGAGCCTGGAACATTCCTTCTCTAGGCACCCTTCATTCTGCCATCCCACAGTGAGCACTGGTGGTGTAGGTTAGGGCTACCAGCTTTCCCCATTTTAAAACTGAAAGGAACACTTTTAGTCCCAAGCAAAGCAGGACTGTTGTTCCTATGTTTTTCTGCACTAGAGCTATATTTCAGCCTGAGGTCTGTGGCCCATAAAAATGTTTTACCGGAGGAACAGTCTTTTACCTGATGCCCAGTGATCGTTTTAGAGGAGATGTCCACTTTGCCGTTTGAAGAACTCCCACCTCTGTGTACAGCTTTCACACTCAGCCCTCTTTACTCATTCCCTGGCTCTGAAGGCATTTGAGTGATTTAAACTGACTGCAGCTTTCGCTTACGTCTCCAAACATGACTTAAGGGATGTATGCCTTTCTAGGACTGAGTAGTCCGAAGCATAATATAGTTTTTGAGAGGATTTAAAAAAAAGATAAAAAGATTCCTGAATCTTAAAAATCTTATGCATGTGACCCACACACAAAAATGGAGGAAATAATTATAGTCACTGATCTCTCTTACCTGTTTATAAATCCACATGGTCAAAAAAAAAACAGAAACCAAATCCATTGCTGCGAGTTGATTCCAACTCATAGTGACCCTACAGGACAGAGTAGAACTGCGCCATAGGGTTTCCATGGAGTTGCTGGTGGATTTGAACTGCTAACCTTTTGGTTAGCAGCCAAGCTCTTAACCACTGCGCCACTAGGGCTCCACATAGTCAAAGTGAGTGCCAACCCAAATACCAACTGCTCCAGAGCTCCCAGTGTCAGCGTTTTCAATTGTGGTTACACATGCACACACACGGGCGTGCACACACACGCAAAACCTTACCCAATAACCTTGGCATCTTTCGGAGCTCGTGTGAACTCTAATCCTACTCGCATATCATCACCCTCCTCCCACTCAAGATTGTCCTCCCATCCATCTTTTCAAAAATTAGGCGGGAGGTCAAAGTTCAGGATGACAATTACATCCTGATTTATAGGAAACTTAGAGCTCCTGAGAAATCCTGTCAAGCCGTGCAACAGAAAAGTAACAAATGCTTTACAGTTGGTGCCACTGAGCACATTGAGAAACGCCAAGCCAGATCATTCTACTTAATCCAGAGTGCAAGCACAGTAAAGGGCAGTGAGAGGTCACCTCTCCCGGTACAGCCTGCCTCTGTGCTGAAATTGCTTCGAAGCAAGGTGATAACACGTTCTTCATTGTCTGTTCAGGCTCCAACCTGCAACTACTGACAAATGAAGATGGCCACCACAGTGAACTCCGACCGTGTTAGCCTCTGTCCTTTAGACCAACAGCTGATGTTATGTTCAACACCAAACAGCTTCCAAGTACTGTGATCTAAAAACTAAGCAGTTTATGGAAAGTTATTAAAAACCTATGATAAACTCCAAAAGCTATTATTAATCCCCAAGAGCCCCTATTCACTTTAGGCAATTTGTGGGGAAGTTATTTTAAATTCAGGCATGACTGTGCATGTTTATTTAAATGTAAAACATATGTCTGTATTAAAGAATCTCAAAAATGTTCATGTGTTCTTAAGGAGTGTGTAATAAAATACCAGGATGGACATGTCAGTCCAGATTTGGGCTGCTGGAATTTGGGGGAATGGGTAATGCTTAGCTATTGTTTGGGATTTTTTAAATAGTTGAATAGGAGAGAGAAAAGAAAATAGGCTTCTATAAAAATAATATTTCTAAATATAAAAATTTATATAAAATAGGTTTATATAAAAATGCTACATTGCTGGGTCCTGTAAAATAACCCAGAGTCTACATTATGAAACTTCCGTATGTTTGTAAGCAATTTAATGTGATTTGTTTTATGGAGTAAGAGGTCGAGGAGTAAATCTCTGGGTCAGCAGAGCCAAGGAAGAATTAAAAATATGCACTAGTTAAGAATAGAAATTCTGTCAGAATGGTAGCATCATTTATGGCAAGAGATTGAGAATACATCCTCCACTTAGGGAAGATGAATAGGGAACTATAATTCCTTCTGAGACAGAGTCTGCAAATTATCCCTATTCCCATCGGAGCTTTAGCTGGGCACGTGGCCACCCAGATAAAGACTAAATTCCCAATTCTTCCTGTGATAAGTTGATTACAAAAAAATAGCCCCAATTCTTAATCCTTCCCAGTATCTATATCCTCTGCAATTTCTTCCATGAAAAGGTGGAGTCCTTCTCCCCACCCCTTCAATCAGTGTTGGCCTCGTGACTTGCTTTGGACAGTAGACTGGCAGAGTGATCTGTGCCAGTTTCAAGCCTGGACTTCACGAGGCTTCATACACTTCCACACTTTCTTGGAACCCTTCCATTCCTTGACAGTAAGCCCCAGGCTACCCTGCTGGAAGATGAGAAACCATGTGGAAGAGAGCTGAGACAATCCTAGGCCGACCAGCCCC